TAAACTCAAAACAAGACAACATTGCACTGCTTCACACAACATACACAAACTGCTAGCTCAGCCCTTTTTACACTTTAATCACACTCTTGGGCTTTCCAAACCCCCTCACCACCCTCACTAACTTTATCTGTGTGCAAAGCAAAGGTTTTGATTTCAGACTCATTTACACACTTACAAACAGTGTCTCCTTTGGGGGGCTGCCTGATTAAAAAATAAATAAAAAATTTATATATATATATATATATATATATTTACTTACAGAGTCTGGTTCCTTCTCGGATTCTTCCCCTTATCCTGCTGGCCACCAAGTGTGTGTGTTTGTGTGCCCCCAAATTGTGTTAATAACACAAATTGTGTTAATACACACACACACACACCGCCAAGATGCCATGTGCTTTGGGACTGGCACGTCATTCTTTCACCCTCATCGGTGTGTTTCTCACTCCCAGCCTACCCCTGCCTGAATGCACACAAACTCGCCCAGAGACCCCCACGCACAGGTGTGACATCCTATCCTGTCTCTTTCTCACACACACAAACACAAGTCAGATCACACACACACACACCCTTGCTTCTCCAATCCCTGGAGCTATTTCAGCAGGTTGCAAGCCCCTCGCCCAGGTGTGCACACCTGCCCTGCCCTCTGCCCCTCCCCAACCTCCTTGGGCTCCCCCCTCCCCTCCAAAAAAAAAAAGAGAGAGAGAATAGAAAACCTGACAATAACAACAAAGGAGCGACACACTTACCTGGAAGGAAGAAGGGGAAGCACAACAAGAGGCTGTGTGGGTGAGTGATGAACGCTTCGCACATTTAATGCTGTTTCACCATCTCCTTGTCTGGGCTCCTAACTCCTTCCTTTCTCTCCCCCCCCCCTTTAAGATCACACAGGAGCCCCCTTTCCAAAGAGCCCTGGGAGGGGGCAGTGGTGCCTATGGGGTAGGCAAGGGCGGTGGGGCACCCTCCCTTCCTTGGGGAGGAGGGGGGGGTTTACTCACTCGCTTGGGTTGCAGTAGCTCCGGGTTTGGACGGAGGGATGGATGGTCTCTCGCTGGCCTCGGGGTGGGGGATCCACCTTTATTGCCTTGGCCCCCCCTTCCTCTTCTGCCTGGACCATCTCACCCATCACCTGGCCAGCCCCCAGATCCAGCCCCACCGGGAGGAGGCGAGTGAGGCTTTGTGGGTTAACTCTTTGGGCGACGCCGAGACAGGAATGACATGGGGAAAACCAGCAGAAAGCCACACAACTATACAACGGATGTAGGGTGTATTCTGGGGCCCCCACCCACCCACCCCCCAAGGGGTTTTCCTCAGCCCCTTCCTCAACTTGGGATGAGGTGGGGGTTTTTTTTGGGGAGGGAGGGAGAGTCATAGAAGGAAGATTAGGAAAACGGCAGAAGGATTTTGCAGGGAGAATCTGGTGTGGAACAAGGGATGCCCACAAGCCCTTTTGTGTGTGGGGTGTGTGTGTGTGTGGGTGTTGATTGGGGGTGAGTGGGCAGGAAACGTCAGGAAGGTGGGCGAAGCACAGAGGATGGGGCTGGAAAGGCCAGGTCGGTCTCTTGAGCGGCCGGAAAGGCAGGGTGGATTTTGTCCCAGCTATTAAAAAAAATCCCCCACCTTTTTCCAAAAAAAGAAGAAGAAGAAAAAGAAGAAGAAGAAGAGAAGGAAAAAAGGATGCGTTCACACAACCATTTCGTTCTGTGGAGGGATGGACTTCTAAGGGAGCTGGATTTGCATAAAATGCAGAGAGGGAGAGGGAAGAGAGAGAGAGAGGAAAGGAAAGGAGCAGAGAAGAAAGGAAGACAAAGGAAAAGAGGGAGGAAGAAAGGAAAAACGGGATGGAGGGAAAAAGGAAAGAGA